TGTCTACACTGGCCGCTTGAATTTCCACAAGAACACTGACTTCCTACTGTCTGAAATCAGTGCTTCTTGCGGAAATACTATTCTGCTCCCGTTCGGGCAAAAGTCCCTTTGAGCAAAGCTTTTGTGCAAAAGGGCCAGTGTAGACAGCTCAGATTTGTTTTGCGCAAAAAAGCCCCGATCGCGAAAATGGCAATTGGGGCTTTTTTGAGCAAAAGCATGTCTAGATTGGCACGGACACTTTCCGCAAAAAATGCTTTTGTGGAAAAGCGTCCGTGCCAATCTAGACGCTCTTTTCCGCAAATGCTTTTAACGGAAAACTTTTCCGTTAAAAGCATTTGTGGAAAATCATGCCAGTCTAGATGTAGCCTCTCTGTCCTGGGGAGGGACATCTCGAAGTGACCATCTGACAGCCACTCCACATGGCCTCCGTTCCACGTCAAGGGACATAGCCACGTGACAGTCTCCTCGGTGGTTTCACTGACCAGCTGGGCCATGGAGACGCTTCAGAAATAAAGAACCCACACATGCCAGGCTGAGAGCTTTTTATTTACATCGGACGATTTTTACAGCTTCCTGTTAGATTTCAGGACAAGCGCGGCCCCTCACCTTCGGACACGTGCCGGCCATGCTAATCTGCCCGCGTCACCCTGAAGCACAGACCTTACAGCACACTCGCTTCTTGGGATCAGCTCCCGTGTTAACGTCCATTCTGTTAAGCAGCAGCTGTGCGAGGCTTTTGTGACTGCTGGGAGCCAGGCTCTCTGAGATCTGGGTCATTAATTCGACCGAGGCTTGCTGAGCCGTATTGTCAGCACCCAAACGGACCCTTCTGGGCATCGGATTCCACATCCCCTCATTTGGACAAGCCAGGGCCCCTCAGTAACCAACCAGCCCCACACATGGAGCTGCTAACCGCAGGGGAGTGGCTCAGCCCCCCTGCTTCTGAGAGAAGGGAGGGGTTCACGCCGGGGGCAGCTCTATCTGGATATCAGGCAGCAGGCTGCAGCTGGTGATGATGTCCATCTTGTCGGCCACGGCGCGCAAGTCATCCAGAACGAGGCGGATGTGGTGCGAGGCGCCGATGATGCCGCTCTGCGAGGCGCTGAGCTGCGCCGTCAGGCCGGCGAGCTCCTTGGTGGCCGTGTGGTACACCTGCTTGATGGCGCAGCTGACGTCGCCGTGCAAGCGGGCGTTGCTCTCCGCCAGCTTCTGCTGCAGCAGGGTGCTGTAGCGGCCCTGGGGCTGGAGGCGGAGGGCGGGTTTCTCTTCTACTCCCACAGGAGACCGCGGCTCCTCCTTCCTGAGGACGATCAAGGGAGGCAGGTCCAGGTCAACTAGCTGAGACTTGGCTTCAGGCCCCGATGGGCTCCCTTCGTCTTCGTCGTCGGTCTCCGACGCTTCCCCCAAGACTTTCACCCCAGAGAGGCTGGGACAGGGGCCCTGGGGAACGGATGACAGATACACTTCTTCATCAGAGTCCGTCTCCGACGCTTCCCCTTGAATCACCGTTCTGCACTGGGGAGCCGCCATCCTGGGACTTCACGGACCTGCAAAACCAAAACCAGCTCGGTCACAGCAATAGAGGGGAAACCGCAACTACAGAGAGTAGCCTGGGATGGTCGACGGGTCCCAGGAACCCGGAGGAAGCGGGCAAGAGGTCGGGAAGTTCCAAGGGGGAGTGGCAAGGCAGGCCTTTAGCTGAGGAGCTACAGCAGGAGAGAGGTGGTGAATGACCCCAAGTGCGGGACAAACGGCATGATGGATACCAGGACAGGACAGAAAACGGCCACAAGCAATCTCTTCCCTCTGGAGACTCTCCCATTTCGCAGGGACATCCCTCCCCTCCCCAAAGCCTCCGCCCCAGCCCCTCTCCCAGAAAACACCCTGCTTTCCCCACAATCCCCTCCCCACCCAGCCCCCTCTTCCCCTACCCCCAAGCACCCCTGCATC